GCTGGGCCCGCAGCAAGGACGGTGCAGTCGAAAGCTGCCGTGGGAGGGGGTGAGGTGGCGAGGAAGGAGGCGAGGGTTAGGAGGTTGATGAAGGGGGAGGGAATGAGGGGTGAGGAGGAGATGTGGAGGGCTGAGACCGCCCCTTTCTCCCGCCCGATACTCGGGTGGGGGGTTCGGACATGGGTGCGTGGGAGGAGTCGTGGCGACGGTGGTTTTCGCCGTCGGCAGGACACCCCGCGCGCGGATGAGGGCGCTGATGCACCGCCTGAATCATCGTCGGCGGCAGCGGCATCGTCGGCAGGACCTGCGCTGGACGGCGTGGCGATCATCGGCCTGCAGCAGGCGAACCTCGGGGCCCAGGCCGACACCGCCGCGCTGGGCATCGCGCAGATCGACGGGGCGGCGATCGGGCTGGAGCAGGCGAACCTCAAGGGCCTCGGCATCAGCCAGCTGGGCGACGCCGCCGCGGGGCCGAGCGGGGCGTCGCTAGGCGTCTCGCTGCCTGAGAACCCGTCCGAGGGCTCAGGCGGGCTGCAGCTCGGCTTCCTGGCGAAGAGGCTCAACGAGTTGGCGAAGGGCTGCGAGACGCCGCCCGCGACCAGGGCGCAGGAAAGCCCCGGCGACGAGCAGCCCGATAAGGTGATCGAGGAGGCGTGGAGGAGGAGGATCGCGAAGTCGAGGACGGCGATTGCCAGCAAGTACGACCGCTTCAAGAAGGGCAGCGCAGAGGAGCAGGCGAAGTACAAGAATGCGCAGGGCCACATCGGCAAGGAGAACTGCATCCTCGAGTGGGTCGACAAGCAGGAACGCCTACCAAGAGCGCAGGTTGGGAGCGACGACGACGACGACAACGATGACGACGACTACGACGACCACCCATGGGTGGTCGTCGTAGTCGTCGTCGTCGTCGTCGCCGCCGCCGCCGCCGACAGGTCTAAGAGGAAGACCAACACGGAGGCCCACCTGGAGTGGGGGACCCACGAGCCGTTCGAGGTCATCGCAGGCAAGGGGTCGGGGGTCGGCATCACAGAGACGGGGGCGATGGCGGCACTGAACACAGTCTTGGCGTGCCAGAAGCTGGGGTACCCCTGGGTGCAGTGGAACAGCTTCACCAAGCGCGCCGAGTACCTCTACTGCAAGTCGGGCTTCAAGAACAAGTCCGAGACGGCGTGGACGCAGTGCCAGGAGCAGACGGGCGTGCAGGACGACCTGGCGCTCGACTTCCTGAAGGGGGGGGGGGGGGGGCGCGACGCGCTGGGCGGTGGCCAGCCGAGCCAGGCTCAGACGGGCGCAGCCGCGCAGCAGGAGAGCGAGGCCAAGCAGCAGGCGGCGGACGAGAAGAACGCCGCCGCCGTTGCCAAGCAGAAGGAGGCGGAGGCGACGAAAGCAAAGGAGGCGGAGGAGAAGCAAGCAAAGGAGGCGGAGGCGAAGGCTAAGGCAGCGGTCAAGGCCGCTGCAAGGAGCACCAAGCGGACGAGGGGCGACCGCGGCGGCACGGCGACGCCGCCACCTGAGCCAGCTGGTGACGACGCTCCCCACCCGAAGCAGGCCAAGAAGGACGCGAAGAAGAAACTCGACGACTTTCGCACGCTGATTAGCCTGTGCGGACAGGAGCTCACGTCTGGCAAGATGATCTTGCGCAACATCGGCACGGTGGCATCGCGGGAGCCCTTGGCGGACGAGAGGATGAGCGGGGATCTCCGCAGGGCAGTCGAGGCGCTGGAGAACGCGAGCACCACCAACGCGCTCGTGGCGCAGCTGGTGACGCAGAAGTTCGACGCGGTGAGGGCGTACGTCGGGGAGGCAGATTTCGACAAGCAGATCGACCAGATCACGTCGATCCTGAAGCCCAAGGTGGATAAGCTCAACGCAGAGGTGGACGCCTTGAACCAGATGCACGCTCTGGTTGTGAAGAAGGCACAGGGCGGCAGGTAGTCGGAGGCCTTGACGACGGCCTCTTGACGAGGCCTCTTGACGAGGGTTCGGCTGCAGAGCGGTCGATTCGCCCGCCGACCAGTGCCGCGTAGTTAAGGAGGGGAGAGTTGGGGGGAGAGGAGGAGGAGGAGGAGGAGGAGGAGGAGGAGGAGGAGGAGGAGGAGGAGGAGGAGGAGGAGGAGGAGGGGGAGGAGGAGGAGGAGGAGGAGGAGGAGGATGAGGAGGAGGAGGAGAGGAGGAGGAGGAGGAGGAGAAGGAGGAGGAGGAGAAGGAGGAGGAGGAGAGGGAGAAGGAGGAGGAGGGAGAGGGGGAGGGGGAGGGGGAGTCCCCATTGGGGGAAGGGGGAGGGGAAGTACGGGGGGGAGGGAAGGGAGGAGGTGGAGGTGAAGGGGACGGCAAACCAGAAGCTGGCGGCGGGCCCGCGATTCGGGGCACACTTAACAGCCTGCTGCGGTGAGACAGCAAGCGCTCTGTAGGGAAAAGCTCGATCGGATGCGAAAATCTCGGATCGGATGCGAAAATTCTGAACTCGAACCCGATCGGACCGAACAATTCGGGCCCGACCGCGATCGGAGGCGACGAAACCACAGATGAAATACCGGTGAGTTTCCGGTGAGTTTCCGATGAGTTTTGATGAGTTTCGCTCAAACACTATAAATTCACAGGGATTGTAGCGATGAGTTTCCGATGAGTTTCCGATGAGTTTTGATGAGTTTTAAATATTCAGAATTTTATGTTGCGCCACTCCGATCGCGGTCGGGCACCCCCCGTTTCGGTTCGGAGACGCCTCGGGTGGTCAGTTTCGGTTTCGGGTGCGCTTCGGGTGGATCTGGCACGGGCCCGAGGGGTCGCTGCGGCACCTCGGCGAGGCGCAGCTGTCCGTGGAGCGCCCGTTTCGGTTTCCAGGGCGTCTTGGGGGCGCTGGCACGGGCCCGACGGCTAGTAGTTGCAGCGCCAGGGGGCGGGGCGCAGGGCCCCGTAGGGTTCGGCTCGAGGGCGGGCTCCCAGCTCCCAGGATACACGCGCCAGGTGTCGTAGCACCATGGCTGGGGAATCGTGGGGTGAAGACTGGCAGGCCGAGCAATCGAGAGCAGCTGAACGCAAGCAAGCAGGCAATGACTTGCTTAATTATATTCTTGCCATGTATGCAGGGTCGAGGCCAATGACAGCAAAGGACGCTTGCATCATAAGCTGGTTCGCTAAGGAAGCTGGTTGCGAGGGCGGCGTGTGTGACCTCGCTCTGCACCCGAAAAACACAGGCGGCACGTATCAGAGAAAAATGGACTCAACGATTCCCCGAAAGCAAGATAGCGATTACTACTGGTTGGACATTCCAATATATCAGAAAGGTGTTGGTAGGACAACCAAGAGGACCCCCATGCTGCCATTGCATGAGTCGTTGCAACACGAGTGTGAAACTACTCGGTCCCTGGACCCTGGGCGCCTGACAAATGATGCGGGTTTTCAGGAGTGGCAGCAAATATACAGGTGGCACCCTGGCGTTCGCGCGTGCAGGCCAGATGTTCCGCTTTTGTTATCGCTGTACGCCGATGGTATTCGTTTCACTAGGAGCGAGCGAACTGGAAAAGCAGACTCGCTGCTGGGTTTCTTTATGCATTTAGTACCGCAGTCGCGGAGACATTCGGTCGCATTCTTAAGGACATCTGAATTCTGCAGGTGCGGGTGCCGAGGGTGGTGTAGCCATTACCCTGTCATGCTCGTGATAGCATGGTCGATGCGGGCGTTGATTGACGGCCGATACCCCTCGGCCATGCACGGCGGCTCACCGTTTGTCACGGGTGATCACAGGCGTGATTTGGCGGGCGTGCCTCTCAGGAAAGGCGTTGTGGTTTGGATGAAAGGCGACTTAATGGAGCAGGCTGTCACGTTCGGTTTGCGGGGTTTGGGCAGCATGTTTTCCCCGTGTTTTATGTGCAATTCGCTGCTCGAGAATTTACATGGCGATGACCCTGTTGAGTTGGACAGTGACCACTGGGGCCAGAAGTCAGATTTGGATGATTACGAAGTTTCCTGTCATCGGCTTGAACACGTCGTTGTGCTTCACACCGAAGCCGATTGACTTAAGGCGACACCGACGCGCAAGCGCGGCCGCGCAAGGTGGCCCCCGAGAGCGCGCGGTCGCGCCACGGAGCGCGTGTGGCGGAGAGGGTTGCGACGGGGTGGCGGGTGGCAGCGTTCTCGGGGGCTGCCCGCCGCGGTCGCGCAGGCGCGTCGGTTTCCGACAAGGTTTTTACTGAGGGTAGGCTTTACTGGGATCGGCGGAAATCTGGATCCCGTGGGAGGGCGCTCCTAAACGATGTTCCGTCACTAGGTCTCAAAGCTGGTGATCGATTGACGCCGTCCGAGCAATTGTGCGATATCGGCGATTTCTCCGCTGCCTCGTTGCCCCTGGTCGTGAGGTTTTGGCGCGCGACCTATCGCGGTCAGGCTTGCATGGACCCACTGCTGAATCGCAACCCAGTGTTTTCGCCCGCCCTGTATACGTCACCATCCCTCACGTTCGCGTTAGACGTGCTCCACATTCTGCACCTGGGAGTTCATGGCCGTTGTATATCCGCCGTGATCTGGGCAATTCTGGATGTGAATGTTTTCGGGATCCCAGGGCCTCATCAAGACGTCGTTGTCCCAGCCTCTCTGGAGAGGGTCAGGCTTGCATGGACCCACTGCTGAATCGCAACCCAGTGTTTTCGCCCGCCCTGTATACGTCACCATCCCTCACGTTCGCGTTAGACGTGCTCCACATTCTGCACCTGGGAGTTCATGGCCGTTGTATATCCGCAATGATCTGGGCAATTCTGGATGTGAATGTTTTCGGGGTCCCAGGGCCTCATCAAGACGTCGTTGTCCCAGCCTCTCTGGAGAGGCTCTCGGGCATGCTGAACGATTGGTATGACGACACGGATGTGCCGCACAATTACAGAGTGCATGAGCTATCAGTGAGTATGATCGGCACGAGGGGCTTCCCAGGGCTAAAAACAATGGAGTCCGAACCAAACGCGATCCTCCCATGGGCTTTCCATTTGTGCGAGACGTTTTCTGCCAGCATGGGGAAAGGGTTTGCGCCCGCTGAGGCGTGCAGAAATTTGCGGGCGTTCATGCAACTCCTGAAGGCATCACCCACCATCGTCGATAGGGAGACGGGGTCCATGCTGCTGGACCTGTGCAAGCAGCACAACCATTACATGGCAGAAGCAGAGGTCCCCCACTTGTTCAACAACCATTTTTTTTGCACCTCGTGCGCCGTTCCTTGAGGCACGGCAACCCGCTTCGGTGCGCCACGTTT